TCACCATCGAAATATCACTGTATCGGGTGCATCGGCTCCGGGTCTATAAATACCAGAATAAAGAATAACGATGCCAGTATCTTGCGAAGCTGTATCGCCCGCAATAGACAAGGTTCGATTACGAATTTTTTCTTTTTTTTTATTCTTTACTTTCTCTCGTTTCTTTCTTATGTTATGTACAGTTTGGCTCTGTCGGCGCGAATCAGCTTGCTCTCGTCTACCTACAATTCAGATCTGCGACAATCAACGCCGACATCGACAATGACGACTATCGCGACGACCACGGCGTTCAAAAGTACATGCGTATGGTCCCGTAGTATATTGTTACTTTGTTCACTGCTGGCATTACACTCTATGAAAACGTACCTACTGACTGACGAACGGTTCTCGATTGGTCGACTAGCAATTTCGTTCGCTACGTGCACCGTTCTGACAATGTCTCAGTGGCTACATTATAGCCTGTGAAGCGCGGTACATAGAAGAGAAACTCGTGAGAATTTTCACCTTCGTACCGCTACTGGCGACATCTATAGATCGCGCTGGTCGAGAGAAAGAGCGCGCGATTCAAATTTGAAAGTAACAGCTTTGGGAACTGAATTGAAATACATATAACAAGTACGTATTGTTAAAATATTATTGTTAAAATACTTCTGATTATTATTGTTAAAATGTTGTTGTTAACCTGAACTCAACACAACAAATTGTAACAGTTGCCTCATTTTACAGAAATATATGAAATTAACTGATACAGTGAACATCATGTGAAAGCATTGAAGTGTTAGTAACAATGAAGAAAAAGTAACACAAAAGGTAAAGATTTTTGTTAATAGCTATTCTAAATACATCATTTTGGCAATGAATTCGCGTTTATTCGCATAAATATGTTGGAAAATCGTATAAAATCGATAAAAATTTCTATTGTTAGAATATTTTATAGTTCTTCGTTACTCTATTCCTTTATCATTCCTATTTAGAGAAAGAATTTTTACGTATTATTTCGTAAAATATTTTACGATATAGCTATATATAAAATATTAAAAAACATTAAAATGCAGGATTCTATTGTTCTTCTCATGGCATAATATATACGTACATGTTAAAAATATGTAAGGAATAAATGAATAATTGAGGTTAACTTTTTTGTAAACCAACTGAATCATTGTAAGATATTTCAATGCTTAGATTGTAAGATATTTCAATGCTTAGATTGTAAGATATTTGAATGCTTAAATATTATGATGTGATATGAAATGGTACAGAATTATACAAATATGTAATTATATATTAATTGAATTAATATATAACTGCATATGTAAGTATATATTTGATTTAACAGCAAATACACTTTCTCAGCCTGCTATACTATGGCTTTCTGTATTTAATCTTTAATTTTCATTTTATTCAGTGTAATTTTACTGAGATTCATTTTTGGAATATATTATTACTTAATTAACATCGTCTAAGATGATAAAATAACAGAGCAAATAGCAAATGAAATAAAAATTATTTTATGCCTTGCTTTGAATAAGTATAATTAATTAATTAAATTAAAAAGAAACAAAAACTTTCCACGTATGGTAAAAGTGTCTCTTGTAAACTACTTAAATACTGTTATCATTTTATGAAATGTTTAAATGTGGTTCGCCCACTAAAATGGAAAATTCTCAGAATCTTGAAATGTCTAGATCGCATCATAACCATTCTTGTCGTTTCAAAAATGATTATCTCGTTGACCTCACGCGAATGAATTCTCCTTTGCCCTTGTCTTCTTTTCGTCAGCGTAGCCGAAATATTACTTGAAACATAGCGATTTCTATATGTACGCGTTGCATAATGTTTGTGAAATCGAGTCTAAGAATCTAGTGGCGTTTTTTCTTGAAACTTTTATTCCGAAACATATCAAACGTAGCGACCTTCATCAAATATTTCGGAGGCTCGTTGAAGCAGTTATATTTCAAACTGCTAACAAGTAGGATTCAACACAAAAACAATGTTCATACCTTGATACTTCCATACAATAACTGCAGCTACCTAAGCATTCTGCTAACTATACCGTATCTTTGCAGTTAATAATGAATCAAGTCTAAGAGCATATAATTGATGTTTTCTTTTTTTTTTTTTTCTTTTCTTTGACTGTGTCCGTTCAAATTTGTATTTCTATTTAATAAATATGAATAATTGAATAAAATGTATAAAACTTTTACAATAATTGAATCTAATAAATAAAGTTAATTGATTTTAAATAATTGATTTTAGAAGAATTTTGACGAGCATTCCCGCTGAGGAAAAATGGTAAGCGGAAACAATCTCACGAAACGGAAGCTGACACACTCAAAATGCAGTAATGGGTCTTACGGACGTAAAGTACCGCAAGCCATGGCTCACGTATATCACGAACGTCGTCGAAAGACCGTTCTTTTCGTTCTGTTCGTAATTTTGATGCTCCATACTTTTAAATGTATGTTTTCTAAGAAGTAAACAAAAAAAAGATAATTATAAATAAGATAACTTGTAGATAAGACGACGCATTATCTTTATATCACGTTATCTTTTTGTTGTACAAACTTCGTTTTGAATAAATGGAAATTAAAATGAAGTTAAAGAAAATTTTGAATTTACAATTGTTTACGGTATTATTTAAAATTTATTCATACGCGAAAAACTTTGAAGTATAAACAATGCACAAAATATCATAGTAAAAAAAAAAAAAAATGAGTTATGAAAGAGGACATGTTTCACCATGATTAATCTTCAAGATTATAGACTATATTGATCTTACACACGGTGAGCAGATATACTCCTATACTTTTCAATGAAATATTTTTTCACCTTGTTACGAAATGACATTTAATCACACAAGTACATAAATTCCATAGGTACATAAAACCAAGTACACGGCATTGCAAATAGGTACTATAAAAGCTGTACAAACCGTGGATGTACGTGCAATGACTAAATCCCAGATTGACGGACACAGACTGTTATAAATCAGATACGTTCAGTGGCAGAAGTTTAGTCCCTAATTTGTAACAAAAGTTAGTAACCACGCGGAATAAAGAACGAAGTCATTGAACCAGGACACACAATGGGACAAGGTTTCAGAAATGTGTTACGTCCGCATCATAATTTCTAGAACTGGCAGCTTCCAGATATCAGGTTGAGGGCCAATGAGTCATCGGGAATCACCATCGGACTTTCTATCCCCTTCTTGCCTATCCTTTTCTTGATATCACGTTCACCTGGTCATCATCTTGCGCTTCCTCGTCTCACTGATATTAAATTTGTGCAGAGTCGATAGAGACCG